TATTGTCTGTCTTGTCTTAATGTTGGTTTATAATGGAGCACTGTAACAAAAAATAATTTCCCCCAGGGATCAATAGAGTATTCTGATTCTGATTCTGATTACATTTTCAAAACAGGCTGGTTACCTTAGGTTTAATGAATTCTAAGTTATTATTTCGTTGCTGTGGGCCTTCATACATCGAACCGATTTGAGCCTAAACACCAGGGGATGTTGCATGAAAAGAGATGACATGTGCCAAAGCCAGGGGTTAAAGTGGCAGTGTAGCTAGCCCTACAGAAGGCAAGCATAAAGTGACTGATGCTTTTTAAGTAGCAGGTCATTTCAAATGCAGCTTTTCTATCAGCAAACTCACAAACTGTTTGTGTTGTCTTCACAAGGAGAGAGAAGAATGAGGGCTAACTTTACTCAGAGATGAAGAAAAATAGGGTTAGCTTTAAAGGGCTGCTCAGTGGTATTTAATAAACTATAAATGCAAAGACTGCATGTAAGCCCTTGTTTTTAAATGGGTCTGTACATGTGACACTGATTTGTTTTGTTTCACAATATGAAAAAACTCAAACTGAGGCAGACTAACTGTGTTATTTAAAGGCTGCATGAAAATCCTCTGCAGGTTAGTGTCAGATAAACAGGTTAGTTCGCTGCACTGTGATGGGTTCAAATTAAAGAACAGTGGCAGTGGGTTCATGGTCACAGTTAGCGTACATCATGTGCAGCAGAGATTCATATACATTTTAGCTGATGATGCTGATATTCATTCACTGAATTCCACCTTCGTACCAACTTTATATGAACTAGAAAAAAGACAGGATAAACAGTGTACTGTGAGTGTACTGTGACCAGGTGTGCCATGGAAGACTATCTGGGTCCACCTGATTAGATTAGTAAGCGACTGGCAGGAGTCACGGGAGGACAGTACATAGCAATAGATAAATATGTGAAAAAGTAGTCAGTCTGACCTTGGTCCTGGAGAAAACTCCGAGCTAAATGAAGGCCCTAGCATCAGCAGTGGTCAGGAGAAAGCACAAAAGGTACACTGGGGACAAACTGAGCCAATTCTGCTCTGACTGTTATGCAGGGAAATCTTGTCAATGTTTTTTTTGTGATATTTTTGTTTGGTGGTGTGCCGTGGGATTTTTATAATATGAAATATCTACCGTGGCTCCAAAAGGTTGGAAAACACTGGCGTAGAGGATGAACTCGTGAACCATCTGCTTACACCTTGTTGAATTCAGGTGTGTACATCCACAGAGAGCAGTGAAGCTCCGAGCAGATGATCACAGCCTGTACACTAAGAAAATCTACTGGAGCTCTTAATAAAAATGATTGTGAGTTATGATTCTTTCCCCACACTGAGCCACAACAACTGATTTTAGGGTTCCCCACCTGGTGAATTTAATTTTCCTTCTCTTTCTTCTGATTTAAGCTGAATCATTACGATAACACTGTGAGGCTCAGTTAGCTTCAAATGTCCTCCAAAGCTTATCTTTTGCTTTCTTACACTGAGCATATATCAGAGTCTGTACTTTTTTACTTTTACTTGAGTAAAGAAGTTGAATGAGTACTTCAACTTTTACAGGAGTAATTTTTAACACTAATATCTATACTTCTACTTAAATACAGAATATCCATACCTTTCCCAACTGTTAGTAAGTAATGTTACTGGGCCTGTGGAGGCAGTGGAGCTGCCAGAGACCAGCCGTAGTGAGACAGCTCCTTACACAACAGAACCAGCTTTGACCCTGATCAGATTTGCACCCTTTCTTTTAGATCCACTGTAGCCATGGAGGCAGTGGAAAGTAAAGATCTTGGCTCTATCAAAGGGATAGCAGCTACCCACTGGTACAGATATAAGGATTACTCCTAAGTCACAATCAAAACTCAAGAAGGAGAAGCCTTCACTGTTCACATCATCTCAGTGGATAGAAACACAAAGTTCATCGGGGTAGATACAAAGACTTTTGTTTTAGAACGTGCTCTGTGCACTGCAGAGGTTGGAAGCCTCAACACTGACGTTTACTGGAAACCTACACACAAAGACAAGTGTCTATTGTTTGACTACCACCAGGATCAGGACCCTGCAACTGCAGGAAGAAAACAGAAGGGAAAGAAAAGGAACATGCTCTTAAAGCAAGTGGTTATATTAACTTGGATAAACACAAAGAAACTCAAAGTTTTTCCTCAGCACATCCCATTGCACTTCAGACTCACTCCCAGTTAAAAACTGGTTTTTCTCAAACTCCCAAACACAAGCTAAGCAGCAAACTGTAATCTGTGTGTGGCAGGGGTGTGGTCTTTAGCTCTGCTGCAGTGGGACGGTGGTGCAGTGGGTTCAAAGGGCAGTGCCATGGAGGCTGAGGGCCAGGTGGAGGTAGTCAGGCTGATGATCTCTCTTCCCTTTTTAGTGTCACCGGGGACAGAGACAAGAGAGAATTGTGGGTTCAGCTGAAAAGCTGACCATGCCAGAGATGTTTGGTGCTGAACCATTCTGTGTGTGTGCGCCTAAATAAAAGTGGCAAAACAGCCAATTAATGCCGTGTCGGGATTGAACCATTCACAGTGGTGCCCAAACCCAGGCTCGATGTCCAGCCCTTAGTCCATGCAGCTGCTTCAGCTGCTGGCTCAAATGCTGATGCACCGTGAGCAGGCTTAGCGGCAGACGCAGGTGTTGGAGAGGGTGGATGGAGCCACCCCGATGCACCGGATGGCGGAGGGCAACAACCTGCAGGTCTTTTTGGAGACCTTCCAGGCCACAGCAGAGGCATGTCAGTGGCTTGCCACTGAGTGGGCGCGGTGGCTGCTTCCACTGCTGTCTGGAGGGTCTCCCACGGCGTCTCTGAGCCTACCACCAACGTACCGAGGTAGCTTTAGGGAAATTCACAGCGCTGTGCTGGATCGTTTGGGCCTCTCCTCGAAGTATCATTAACTGCAGTTCTGGGCCAGTCAGATGATGGGGAGGATTGTGGAGGGGCTGCCAGGGGATATGCCACGATGGGAGTGGAGACTGCAGTCACGCTAGCAGAGGAGCACCTGGCCATGGGGGCAGAGGGAGCATGGAGTAGCAGCCCGCCGGACACCAGCACTGCAACACACATACACATCCATTCTTGGTCACACTATGGGTTGGCAATAATGACTATGAAGTCAACATCGGCAGGGGATAAGCCACACAGGTATATCACCTCAACCTCCTTAGAGGATGGCGAGAGGCTGAAATCACTTCTCCAATGAGCCTGGTGAAGGACAGAGATGAATTGAGCTGAACATAAACAGCAAATTGTTCAGAAGGAATTGGCAGAGATGCTGAAAATGGGAGTAATAGAAGAGTCACACAGAGCTTGGTGTAGCCCCATAGTTCTGGTCATGAAAAAAGGTGGGTCTATATGGTTCTGTGTTGTCTACCTACAAGGTAGACAAGGTGTCACGGTTTGATGCCTACCCCATGCCCCGGCTTGATGAACTCCTGGACTGGTTAGGCACCACTCAATTTTTTACGACACTGGATTTAACCAAGGGCTATTGGCAGATTCCCTTGTCTGCAGAGTCCAAGGAAAATCATTCTCCACTCTGCACGGTTTGTACCAGTTTGTCTCTCTTCCATTTGGCTTGTTCAGAGCCCCTGCCACTGTCCAGTGCCTCATGGACCAGGTGCTGGCGCCGCCTGCACCTGGTCACACCTGCTGCATATCCTGCTGCCTACCGGGCTGATGTGATCATCCACAGGAACACCTGGGCAGAGCATGTGCAGAGGGTGGGCACGGTCCTGCATTCCCTGAGGCAGGGCTCACGGCCAACCCAAAGAAGTGCGCAGTTGGACTGAGGGAGGTACAGTATCTGGGGTACCACTTGGGAGGCAGCCAGGCGCATCCACAGGCGGAGAAGACAGCCACCATTGGATCCTGCCCGTGCCCCAAGACCAAAAAGTAGGTGAGGTGGTTCCTGGGGCTGGCTGGGTACTATCGCCGGTTCGTGTCCATGTTTGTGTCCAAGATCTGGCTCAGCGGTGCGTTTGTGCCGTTGAAAAAGGCTCTCTGTGGGGAGCTGCTGCTCAACACACTTAACTTTTGCCTCACTTTCATCCTGCAGACAGATGCCTCAAACAGAGGGCTCTGGCCAGATGCGGCCCAAGCCTCAGTCGGGCAGTGGGTCGGTGTGGCAGGGGTGTGGCCTTTGGCTCTGCTGCAGTGTAGGAGGGGTGGGGGAGGGAGGCTGAGGTCCAGGTGGAGGCAGTCAGACTGATGAACTCTCTTCCCTTTTTAGTGTCGCCAGAGATTGGAGACAAGAAAGAAGTGTGGGGTAAGCTGAAAAGCTGACCATGCCAGAGATATTTGGTCGAACCATTTTGTGCAAGAGTGTGTGTGTCTGAAATAAATGAAAACAGCCAATTAACGCCATGCCGGGTCTGAATCGTTCACACTATGCAGTGCAGCACAGAATGCTCAGACCTCTACAATGGAGAAACCAAACAGCTGCTCCATAAACGTATGGCAGAACATAGAAGAGCCACCTCTGACAGGACAAGAGTCAGCTGTACATCTGCACTTAAAAGATACAGGCGAGGATGCTAATGTTCACATTTTGGACCAGAGGAGAGAGAGGCCATCTATGTTGTTGTAAGCCACCTCCTCTGTTGAACGACAGTCACTGAACAGAAGGGTGGGTAATGACACCAACTGTCAGCCACCTACGGTGCAGTCTTCAGATCCCTTCATCAGGCCTCCAGCTCACCTTGAAAGAGTTTGCAGCCAAGTATGAGGAGGCAGGAATGAGAATTAGCAATGCATCAAGATAATTATTGTTGAGCTTCTTAAAATTGGGAGATATGTAATAGAAATGGCAGTTAATGCAGTACTTCTGTTAAATCCCATGAATGAAAGGTGAAAGCCTGCACTTCAAAAACATCTGGATTGTTTGATTTAAAATCTTCTTTCCTCGTATGCATTGTCCAAATGCTTAAAAACTAACTGTATACTATAAGAATTGTATGTCTTTAAGAGTCCTACTTTTCCTCTGTCCTCCTACTATGCAGGGCTTGCTGGTGTCCATGCAGGGCATCTCCACACAGTTCTCCAGTCGCCCACTGGGACCACAGCTGCACACCTCGAAGCAAACCGTAGGATCAGTGCGCGTAGGCACTTGGATACGAGCATCCTGTTGCACCAAGAACTCAGAGGCTTCACCCATTTTGCAGCCTGAAAACATAAAAACAGACTTCAGCCTCTTGAATGTGAATAATGTGAAGCTGCAGAAACGGACTGTAGTTTGTCTTACCTGGCACACAGAGGTATGGCTGACAGTTTAGCTCATCGAGGCAGCCCTTCCTGTTCACCTGGCATATGTGGTTGCTTGGACAGGGGTTAGGATTGCATGGATGGATAACCTCCTCAACAGTGTTGCTGCCTAGGGAGCTGGGTGCTTAATGGTGTGTGGGAAAGGAAAGTACCATTAATGCTTTCTGTTTTTAAGAATGTGAATATGTGTTTTCAAAAGAAAAGTCTCATCAGGAGAAAAGAGACCTAATGCAAATCTACTCTGAATTCTAATACGTAGCATATAGAGGCTCGATGTCCAGCCCTTAGTCCTATGTAATGGAAAGACAGTTCCAGCTGAGCCTGACTCTGTCTTTCCATTAAATAGGACACATGTGCTTATTGATCAGATCATTCAGTAACTTCAAATATAATAAGTGTTGGGACAACTGTTGTTGTAAAAACGGTCTAAATGAACTTCAAATCAAAAGCTGAAACTATTACAGACCATTTTTGGCATGAACTGGATGCTCTAACATCCATGATTTGGGACTAGGAGCCAAAGACTGACAAAACAACTACAGAAAATTGCTGCGCATTCTACTGTGCATGTGTATAATGTATGCTTTTTTATTGTATAAAGCAACGCATGAATCTATTTACATTTGTACCATATCATCAAAACTAGCCTTAAGCTGAAGGTAATTAAAGAAAAAAAAAGCAACTCAGTCATCTTGGCTACTGGTAACGTCAGGGGCACAGACGCTTTGACCAACAGACAGTATCAGTTGTGTTTTAGGCATCATTTCTGTTAAGAATAACTGAACTACACCATTAGCTTGGCTTATGTTCCCAGTGTGCAGCCAAACAATAACAATAATTAAAATAATAATAATAATGATAATAACTCTTTCAGTTTCTTGTTTTCAGTGCATTACCTTGTCAACAGGAAACAGCGACACAGAAAATGTCAAACACTAGTGACTGTAATCACTGAAAGCCCCATTTTGAAACCACTGAGCATTGGATCGGGATGATAATATTTCTTTAAGTCTGCTGTGTTACAAGCAGCAACGTGTTTGCTAAAATGTTATTCAAAACAGCATTGTAGGATGTACTGTATCCACCATCTTCTGAGCATCTGTGCTCTGCTGCCCTCTAGTGGCAAACTCAATTGATTTTTCAAAAGTTTTTCTTTTGTTATTGAATTACAAGACTGCATCTGTTTCATTTACAGCTAATCCCTTCTGTTTCTGTATAATGCAAACAAACGCTGGAGTAACCTGACTCACTAAGGTATCTGTAGAGAGGGATGCAGTGTTCAGGGTCATCAATAGGCGACAGGAGCTCACAGATCCTCTCTGGTGTTTGTCCTTCGTGAAAACGTTTTGTATCTCCACACTGGGTCAGGATATCCACACAATCTGATCTGAAGACAGATAAAACAAATAGAACAGCTGGTACGTACAAGACAAGAAAAGATAACAATACTTTATTTGTTCGAGATTTTAAAATGATTTAGTTAAAGTCAGTAAAAACATTCTAAATAAACTAAAATATGTGTGAAGTTTGCATGTTCTTCCCGTGCTTGCCTGGGTTCCCTCTGGCTTCCTCCCACAATCCAAACACATTCAGTTAGTGGGGTTAGGTCAATCTAAACTGAATCTGAGTGAGTGTGAATGGTTTTATTTCTCTCTGTGTTCGCCCTTCATTAGGCTACCTGTCCCCGCCTCTTGCCCTATGGTAGCTGGGGTAGGCTACAGCCCCCCGCGACCCTGATAAGGATAAGTGGAAGAGAATGGATGGATGACAAGAGGAATATCCCAAGGTAACACTGAACCCGAATTCTAAATAAAATAAAGTGGGTACAAGTTTAAACAAAATACAAAGTAACAATACTGTGTAACATTTTTTTCTTGTCACATCAGCTGATGGCCTCCAGCTTGCACCGAGGTGGTTCACAGCCAAGCTGAAGTGGCAGATATCAGATTTAGTGCCTTTAATACTGAAGCCATGGTTTTTTTGGCCAGAAGAGGGAGTCGTTCCCACTCTGAGGTAGGGATGAGTTGCTGCCCCAAGGAGAGGATAATAAAAGTATCTCAGGGGCAGAGGGGAGTGGGAGAAGGACAGACGGACTAGTGTCATGTCTGCTGTGATGCAGAGTGTTAATCAATTTACAAAGCAGGTAACAGCTGACGGCACGCCACACACACAGCCGCCATCTTTATTCGACACAGGTGCGATAGGGTGAGGGGTTAAGTCATTGAGGACTCAGATTCGTTTCTTATTGGTTGTATTATGACAGAGCTTTACATTCATTATAGATATAACAGAGAGAAGTACAACAACAGTCATGTGAAGGTGAGAGGAGACCTACTTGCATATAACGCTCCCTCTGGACCTGCTGTGGCAGGGTTTGATCTGCAGGGCGCAGGCCACAGCCTTCCACATGTGGGGCTGACACTTCCTAATGTCCAGCACAGGGATGTTCATGAAGGGCATCTTAATTGTACCATTAGACCACAGCTTGATGTCATTCATGGCACCCTGGTCTGACTGGATGTTACAGCTGCGAAACAGCTCCGTCGGCCTGTGGACAGACACAGAAACACAACAGGAAGTCAATGAGCCGTTCAGCGGTGCACGTGCAGCAGCTCCCACAGAGGGAGCCAGAGATCCTCTGAGAAACGTCACACAGGTTTTCCCGTCTTGACCACATCAGGAATCGTCTGTGGAGTCTGATTGGTGGGTTTAGTCTCAAGTGAGTCAGCTAATTGGTGGTTTAAAATACCGACGGTTCCACAGGGAAGGTTCTGGGTGTGGTTCTATCACTCTGTGTGTGTGGGGATTGTGTAACCATCATGGCCAACTTAGGTTTGACTTCCAAAGCAAAACTAAATGTGGTAATGCACAGGGTCAGGCTAACAGGAGCTTAGTCCATGCAGGAGTGCAGCAGTACAGAGTCAGGCTTTTCCATCGTTTTCTGACAGAGTTCTCTGAGAGGAATTTATTCTTAATGTGGCAAATATCAGTGGAAGTCTGCACTGTGGTTGCTGCGTAAAAGAGTGCAGTTTGAAATCTCCACAGGTACTGATACAGCTCTGCTGCTGTGGACGGCCAGCATCTCCTGGGTCTTCCCCTATCAGCCTCTGCGTCTCGTTATTGCAGTGTCACATCATGACACACACACACACACGCACACAGAGTAAAATAGTGTTTTTTCTGTGTGTGTGTGTACCTCCCTGTGTGTGTTGGTGCTGTGTACAGAAGCAGCATTCCTCTCTTTTTCTGTCTCCCGTTTCCTTTTCCTGTTTCTCTGCTTTCTTCTCTTATCTTTCATCAGTCTGGCGTTGACCCCGCCTGCTCCAGCATAACATCCACAAGACAATAATATGAATAAAAAAATAAAACAAAAACATAAACCAGAAAAAAGCCTCCTAGCCTCTACCACTGTGCCTACACTGGTTGAACTACCTTCCTGATATTTATACTTAGTGCTGTGAGTAAAAGACAGGCTGCAAAGTGTTATAAAAGTGTTATAGTGCCTTTTCTAGTGCTGTTATATTTTTAAATAAAAAAAGAGGTTCAGATACAGCCACTTAAAATGTCTAGCTGCTCTGTGTCAGGTCCACGATGGAGCTTGGGGGTGTTGCACACTCACAATCACCCACAAAAAAAACCAGTTATGGTGGGGGGAAGAGAGTATTGACAGGTGTCCTTATCCTGCAGATGAAATAGGTAGCCAACTGACATGTCAGGCTGTGTCAGGGCTATCTGACCAACAAGGAGAGTGATGGAATGCTGGTGGTCTGGCCTCCACAGTCACCTGACCAGTGGAGATGGTTTGGGATGAGATGGAGCGCACAGCGAAGGCAAAAGGACCAACAAGTGCTCAGCATCTCTGGGAACTCCTTCCAGACTGTTGGAAACCATTTCAGGTGACGACTCATGAAGCTCATGGAGAGAACGCCAAGAGTGAGCAAAGCAGGAATCAAAGCAAAGGCTGGATGTTACAAAGAATCTCAAATATCAAACGTTCTGAGTTAATTCATACTTTTTTGTTTGTGTTCATTCATAGTTTTGATGCCTTCAGTGAGAATCTACAATGTAAACAGTCATGAAAATAAAGAAGAACCATTAAATGAGAAGGTGTGTCCCAACGTTTGTGCTTACAGACTGATCACATGTGCGACACACCAAAACAAGTTTAAAGGATCTATGATGTCATTGATACCAGTGAAGAACAAAACCGTAACAGCTAATTATAGACCCATATGCCCAAAATATGTTGATCGGAAAATACTGTCAAAAACTCTCAGCAGTGAGGTTAGAGAAGCTGGTAATTATTCATGAGATCAGGTTTCACGCAGAACAGGTCTGCAGCTGGTAACACGAGGATGGCCTGGAAGAGCTGCTGCCGTGTCTGTAGATGCCACCGAGCCGCACCTTAGTTAGACTGGAAATGAATAAAAATGCATCGTATGTTTTAAATTAAATGAACTGATACTTTAAAAGCAACGTATATATTTAATTAATTATTACAAGTTTTAATGAATTCATGACACAACAAATTATTTAATGATGAACTTGATTTATTTTGGCAGTCATGGCCCTCCATAATACTATCGTGGGAGCTAGGACTTGTGCTCAGTTCAGCCCAGTTTGCAGTGGACAGTCTGCTGCCAACCTTACTAAACCGTGATTCATTAAATCTTCTCCCAGCTGCAGAAGTTTTAGTCACAAAAATGAAAATGCACCAACAGTAATTACTGCCAGCAGCAGAAACAAATGGTGTTGCACTGGTGCAGCCCACTACGTCTCAGTCTTCCTACATTTAGTCTACAATACAAACTATCCAGCTGTGGCTGCTTGGCTCCTCTATCCTATGGAAGTGCAGTATGACAACGTGGGAAGGTATTTCTGTTATGTTTGTATTTGTCAGGCTGTCAATAACAACATCTGGACAGCCATACTTGGATATGCAAAATAAAGTAAAACATCCAAAAGTTTGGATCACCAGTAAAACCAATGAAATACTTTTTTTGTATCTAGTATTTATAAACATATAAAATCACTTGGAAATAACTTTTCATCATGTACTTCCTGTTTTTGAAACGCTCTGTGTGTGGGCTTCTCAACAGGAGACACTGTGTACAAATAACACACACTATACTGCAAACACACATATGAACCTGAGCGACAGCCTGTTCGTACTCAAACTTAAGAAACAAATGAAGCTAAAAACGTCTTTTTTATATTTTCATGTTATTAATTACATAATTATTCAGTTTAAATTGAAGGGGACCTTTAAGTCAGAAGCCATGTTTCTTGAATTCTCCCAGAGTGGCCCCATTTCACTTCATCCACCATCCCATTCACACACCACTGTGTGTCTGTCTATTCATACATTTGTGTCTCCATTTCAGAACCCACAGGGTCTATTTATACACATTCTCTTTCATACAAGAACTCAGAAGCTCAAACTGCAGAGGAGGCTGTTCTACGTGGACCACACTCAGCAGTTTAACAGAGGTAAAGCGCTGCCTGAGGACATGCTCTCCCACACTACTGTGGAATAATCTCACTGGCTTACACCACTGATGGTGGCTCTTTGCCTCAAGTTCAACACGGTCCACTCAGTTCCTGCCCGAATGTGAAAATGACCCAGATACCATGACAGGACGTTTCTTTCTTGACCCTTTACTCCCAGTCACATTTATGGCAGCAGTTAATAAGTTGCTTAGTTAACTAATAATTAATGAACTCATTTAGTTAGACAATATTCTGTGGTTATCTGATTTTTAACAAAACAGCGAACACGTGGCCAGGACATGGCCTCCATCGTGCACCAAGGTCTTTCTATTCTACTTCTGGTAACTGAAGGGGAGTTTGTTTGGTGCTCTTATACAACTGATAAAACACATTATTTGACATCAGTTTATTGATTATCCATCTGCTCGATCCCTGACCGCCTCAGTCTGCACACCAAGTATACTAGGGCATCATACTAACCCCAGGTTGTTGTCTGAGGCACTTTGAAAAAAGTGCATGTATGGATGAGGCGAGTTGTTTCTACTCTAACTGAGCACCCAAGAGCTATAGAGATTGACAGACCACATGATTTTCGCGCATTGCATGCCGGGTACTCGTGGCAAAACAATCCAAGTACCTGCATCAAATGCAAGCATTTGCAGCACCGCAAAACGTTCATTCTCCGGTTCCAATACCTTCTTGTTTTTTCTTTGCCCCCCAAAAAGGAATGTACAAAACGAAGGACAACAATGCCGGTCCGTACAAAGACAGACTCGACGAAAAGGCAAAGAAAAGATACGAGGAAAAAAATCAAA